GATCCCCACTGCCCTCCACTTCCCCATGTCATGTGGGAGGTTCTGCCACAAGCCCCCCAACCCCTATCTGCTGTCCCAGCTCCCCCCACAGCTGCCCCACCTGTCCCAGCTCTGGGCCTTTAAAAAACAAAAAATAGAAAAACAACCTGGCCTCACTGGCTGCTGCAGGAGCCTCGGGGCTCCAGGGGGCTCATGTAGAACCTCCCATGCAGTGTGGGGCAGTGGGGGGCAGCGGGGATTGCTCCTCCACTGGGCAGCAACTGGTGAGCCTGGGTTTTTGTTTTTGATTTTTTTTTAAAGGGCTGGGAGCTGGACAGCCATGGGAGGGCTGGGGAAGCAGCTGGGGGTCAGGGGCTCATGGCAGAGCCCCGCACATGGCATGGGGCAGGTGGGGCAGCCATTGAGAGTGGGTGGGGGATGGGACCTGTGTGATTCAGATATTCAGCTGATTCAGCAGCAGCCAAATCTCTGAATCAGATTCAGCTGAATCAATTAGGGACAGTGATTAGAATCCCCAAATCAAATCACTGTCCCCCGCATCAGCCAAATCCGAAGCGAATACTAGCTGCTTCGCACAGACCTAGTACATAGAGAAGTAAGACTTATGAGGAAATGTAGAAAGAGCTAGGGTTATGTAGTCTGAAGAAAACAAAACTGAGTGGGGATTTGGTAATAGTCTTCAAATACCTGAAGAGCCATCATAGGATGGAGATGGGCTTTTTCTCAGTCCATAGGAGGCAGGACTAGGAGCAATGGCCTCAAACTGCAGCAGAGGAAATTTGAATCAGAGATTTGGAAGAACTCTCTGACAATAAAGGTGGTCAAGCACTGAAACAAGCTACCTAGAGAAGCTGTAGAATCTCCATCTTTAAAAATGTTCAAGAGCAGGTTAGACAAACACTTGGTCGCGATGGTTCAGTCAGGGATGATCCTGCCCTGAGCATAGGACTGGACTACATGACCTTGTGAGATTCCTTCCAGCCCTACTTTCCTATGATCCTATGAACAGGGGGGGAAGGAAGAAGGCAAAGCAAAGCAGCATGGCAACTCAGCCACCAAACTGAGTGCTAGAGTGGGACAGAAAATGTTGTTCAAGTCCAAGGTGTGCAAGCAGAGGGTCACAATTCTCCAGAAGCCCCATATGATTAGAAGGCTCCTACCTTGCTCCTTCAGTCACTTCTGTTTCTCCTCACCAAAGGAGAGATTGCAGCATGGCTGGTTACCACACCTTCAGCACACTACAGATTTTGTGCTTCTGGTTTCCTTTGGCAGGATTTTCACAAAAAATACCCTCTGCAGTATCTGTAAGAGTGGTATTTTCCCTTCATATTGCAAAAGACATGAGCCCTTACCTGAGGTCAAGTGAAGCTATAAAAAGGCTCATGATTTATATCATATCCTCCATACTGATGATGTGCACATATGGGTTAGGGCCATCTGAATGAATTGTGGCTGGAAACCTGCAGCATTAGCCAAAAGAAGATATGCCCAAACTCCTGACTTCACACATTTCCCAGTGCCTTTGGCTCTGTAAAAGGCAGCCTGGTTTGTTGTACTGTTGTTTGTGCACTATGACCTGCCATGCAGGATAAGTTACTGCTGACCTCTTTAGCTTTAATTTACATGATTTTGTCATCCCTGTTCACTCAAGGGATATAGAAATTCACACTCCTTGTCTCCTCCCCATCCTGGCTGATCACACCCCTTTCCCCTGAATGGCTCATAGAACGTCTGACAGCCGATTTGCAATACTATCTAGAAGCTATTCCCCTCTCCATCGCAAGGCCATGTGACTCGAAATCAGATGGAATTGTAATTTTTTTCTTCAACTAAGAATTCTTACTTACGTGTGGTTTAAAAAGAAGAAAGGTTATTTTTAGTGTCCTATGAAATGCCTGCCAAAAAATACAAAATCTGACTTATATCTTTAATCATTTTAGGGTTTCCTTTAGTACCAGCATCTATTCATGCTGTTGCCAGAGCCAAGTACTTTAATGACAAGTGAGTATTCTGTCTATTTTTAACAGAATTCAGCATGCTTTATATAAAGTCTAACCATTTCTTTTGAAATTATGGTATATTTTTCTTCCAGCTGCTGGATGAGTGTTGATACTCACTTGCTCTATATTGTCCATGGTCCTGTAATGGCAGCTTTATTGGTAAGAATATTATTGATTATAATGTTGATTCAGTAACCCGTCCTGGAAAAGCTGCTAAACGGCACTGAAGAGATATTTCTGTATTTTAAGTACCTTGGCCAAAATTTTCAAAAACAGTTAGAGATTTTCCATGCCTCAACTTCTGATTGGCCTACTTGAGACATATAAAAAAGGGTTTGATTTGGAAAATAGGTTCTCAGTCCCTTCAAAAAAAATCAAGCCCCTTCTCATGATGGATACCCCTTCAAAATATCCAAAGTCACTGGTTGCTTTTAAAAATCACAGCCACCATTCTTTTATTTGTAACAAACGTACTGCATTCTGTATCACTTAAATGAAATATCTGTCTCAGGCTAGACAAGGCAGAGTGAACTGAGAAACAATCTGTAATTTAGCATTGTGGTTTTGTAGCTCTCTGTGCTAAAATGGTAGGGAGCTAAAGTGGGAAGAAACTGGGGAAAGAAATAAGAATTGAATAAAACAGAATAAAACTAGATGACAAGAAAGCAAAGGAGGAAAAGTGAAAGATGTCCCAAATATGTAATTTCTGCTATACTGTGGAACCAGCCCTTCAACGATTATATTCCAATACTGTCAGTTTGAGCTGAGTGAGTGCACCAGAAGGCAAGAAATAGAACCATTAATACCACAGTCCTGTCACTATAGCTATGCCTGTACTAGTACAGAGACCTTGACCTCGTGAAACGTTGAAAGTCTAAGCCTTTTTCAAAACCACATATCAGTCCCATCTCTACCAGTCATCTACCAGTCACAAATCCTCAGTGAGCATGCCTTCCTCAGACTCACTCTCAGTGGGCACATCTACATGAGATGCTTAATGCACAGTAGATTAATTCTACTGCACATTAGCATGTCACAGCAAAAACCATGCTAAAGCACTAATGTGTGGTAGAATTAGTCTATGTGTATTAAGCACCGGCTTAAGCACAAAAAGACTGTGTGCCATTGCTACTGCACATTAGAACCAGCTACTGCATATTTATGTAGTACCTCATATTAGAGGTACTAAACTAAATGCACAATAGCAACGATGCATTAATGCACATGTAGATGCACCTAGCATCAGTTATCTAAAACAGCCTAACATTTCTCTGATGTCATAATTCCAAGGTCTAGCAAAGGCCGTATAAGACTCTCCCTCACCCTTCCCCATTGTTACTGAACTCCAAAACTACATTTTCCAGTTGCCCTAATAAAAAGATCTACTATATTTATAGAGAGACATAAATCTCTCCTTAAAATGGGGCATTACAGTTGCTGGCTTGCAACTGTAGCCATTTGCAATGTGGCTTCTTCATGAAAACTCTATTTTTACAAAACATATCAGATATCAGTTCCTTGCCAATTAGAACTAGATCTAGCAGCATACCCCAGAAGACCCAAGTATTTTACAGCAGCAGAGGTTTTATTCACCTTTCACAGTTGCCTCAAGGAATTTTTAAAGTGGAGGTTAAGTGATCTTAGTGAGTGAAGCCAGGGGAAATAATGGGGGGGAAACTTTACATTTAATTATAAGTGAGGCCACGCAAATCATTCTTCATTATTCTTTTTTTCAAGCACAGCACAAATACAAAGCTTTTGAGATATTTCTCAGTAGCTACAATAGTATGAAATGGTTTCCTGCGGCTTTTGAGTTATGGGGTATGGTGCTAGAAAGTCCAGACATGCTCTTTCATATACTTATAGACTGATGTCATTTAAACATATCTCAGAACAATACAGTTATTTCAGTTTTTTAAAAAAGCCTTGAAAAAAGGTTAGTATGGGATAGAAACTCTGCACTAGTAAGCACATGATAAAGAATAGGAGTGAGCAAAATACAGCCTGCTGGGCAGCCCCAGAAAGAAAGCTAAGCATCTATAACTAGGGCCACGTTGAGCTCAACAATCAAAGTGGTGAGTTCTCCTATACCCCAGCAACCTTCTTAAGTGCATCCCTAATAGTACTAGATACTTCAGTGAAATTTCTCCATTCTCAAAATTTAGCGTGCATTTTAGTGTTTTCCCATATTGGGGCCAAAGTCCTCAGTACTCTTTAGGCCTCAGATCTTGTTGCCTGAAGAGAGTTGTAAGAGACAGTTCCTTAGCTGTTGTAGATGTTAGGGCTGTGCGAAGCTTTGGGTGTTGATTTGATTTGGAGGAGATTCAGCTCAATTCAGTGGCCGATTCTCTGAATCCGAATTGAATCAGGGGACCAATTAAAAGGTCCAAATCTGTTCGTAAAAGATGCGGAGAGCTTTGATGATTCCAGCAGTTCCCACCTGCTGCAGCAGGGAGCTGGAGCTGGTAAGTAGCGGGTGGGGGAAGAGAGGCTGGGGAGGAGGGGACCATGGGGGGGCCCCTACCAGGCCCCATCCCCTGCCTGCTCCCCCAGCCCCAGTTCCCAGTGCTTTAAAAAAAAGCCCCCATGCAACAGGTGCTGCCAGGCAGGGGAGCAATCCCCACTACCCCCCAGTGCCACACTGCATGGCGGGGCTCTGCCATGAACCCCCCAACTCCCCCTCACTCCTCCAGCACCCCCATGGCTGCCCCGCCAACCCCAGCTCTGGCCCGTTAAGAAATAAAAAACCGAGAAAAAGGACCGCGCCCTCCCTTTACAGAGGAAGTCAAAAAAACCCA